TGTCCGGAGAGAGTATGGCCATGTGATCCCAGCCATTACTAAAGAGCAGGTTGTCAGAACACCACCATCCCTTGTACTCTGCCCAAAATGGTTCCCTGAGCAAAGCATTTGAGAAATCTTGTTTAAACTTCTGTTCCTACCATTCCACCCAAACTACTCAAGGTCCCTGATGGTCTCTGTGTGAATGAATACAATGGTCAGTCCAGTCCACATCCTGCTTGAGCCAGCGGCAGCATTTAGTGCAGCTGATCCCTCCCTGTCCCAGCTTCCAGGACCCCCTACTCATCTCTCTGGTTGTGCCTTCTCACTGCCCCAGCCTGTCACCTTTGGTGTGCCCCAGGACCCTGGCCTTGACTTTGCTACTCTCACTCACTCCCCAGGTACTCTCATCTAACTTCACAGTTCTAAACCCAGCTTCTATTCTGATAGTCCCCAAATTCTCATCTCCAGCCTAGACCTGGTTCCTGAACACCAAGCTCCTACATCTTGCTGGCTTCACTTCTTCACCAGCAGGATGCGGAGGAGGGTTTTCAGGAAGCATCTCAAATCCAACATGTCCTGAATTGGGCTCTCGATCTTCACCCTAAACCCATTCCTTCCTCACCCCCTACCTCCTAGATCCTCAGGCCTCAAACTTCAGAGGTGCCCTTGGTTCCCGCCCCCTTTCCCTTAGGCCCACATCTGCTACGTCAGCAGGTCCTGTTTGCTTAGTTTTAAATCTCTTCATAATCTGACAACTACTTCATTCCCCACTGCCCTCATGCTGGGCTGAGCCTCCCTCCTGTCTCTCCTCTGGTCTCCCTACTCCTACTTGGCCCCCCTACAGTCCATTCCCCCGCACAGGCCAGAGGGCTCCCGTTAACACATCTGAGTCAGAACAGGACCCTGCATGGCTCAGATCCTTCACTCACGTCTCACCAACCACAGTCCACAGTCCTTCACAAGCTGCTGCCGCCCCTCACCATCCTGTTACCTTGCTGTTCTCTTCTCCTCGTCTGCTCCTTGTTCATCTCAGTGTGTGCACAGTGACCTGCCTTTATTTCTTGAATACAGCACATGTGCTCTTGCCTCAGGGCCCTTGCACTGACCATTCCCTCTGCCACTAGCACTCTTCCCAGTGGGCTTTCGTGGCTTCCTCTCTCTCGCTTCTCCAGTCTCTGCTCTCTAGTCCACTTTCCAGTAAGGCTTCCCTGAGCATCAAGAGTTTGCATGTGCACACCCTTGAGTGTTTAGTTTTTGTTTTTTTCAATTTTGTACTTTGGGACATCCCCCCCATCATCTAAAATTATAAATAACACTATGATGAAAAACTGTGGAAATGGCCAAGAAAATTCTTTCTCCTCTTAAATTTAAATGCCAGTACCAGCTCTGGTAGTGTAGTGCCTAAGGCACTTGACTGCTAAACAGAAGGCTGGCAGTTCAAACCCACCAGCCACTCAGAAGATGGGGCAGTCTACTTCTGTGGTGATACCACCCCGAAGGAGGGGTTGCTCTGAGTCGGATCTGACTTGACAGCAGTGAGTTTGAGTTTCGCTAGTTCTGGTTAAGTTCAACTGCAGCTCCAAATGACCCCGTCCGTGTATATCAGAGTAGAACTGCTCCATAGGGTTTTCAGCGGCTGATGCTTCAGAAGTAAGTCTCCACGTCTTCCTTCCAAGGTACCTCTGAATAAACTTGAACCTCCAGCCTTTTGGTTAGCAGTCAAGAGCATTACCCATTTGCATACCAGGGACATTACTCTTTCTCTTAGCTCCAGATAATTAAGACTCATCTCCAGTGTTGCAAGTAATCTCAGGCAATAAGCAGGACTTGTCACCCACCTACTTAAACATCTGTGTCCCAATAACTCTGCCATCCTATTAGCTTCTTGCCTTTCCCACCACATACTTCTATTCTTCCCAGCCTCCTCTTTCTCACATTTTCCACCTTCATCTGACACTGTATTTTGCCCTTTTGTTTCTTGTTTCTTCTTCTCATCTAGCATGTAAACACCACAAGGGCAGGGATTTGGGTCAGAAAACATTTGTTGATCATTTAAATGAATGAATGAATCCAAAACCCATGCACAAAGCAAAATTACTGCTTAATCAGAATTAACCCTTGAGAAGTTCCTTAAATAGCTCATAATATACAGTGTATATGATTCTGTAAGTATGGACCTGTATATTTGTAGCATTTACATTTAAAAATACATGTGGAAATATAATTCTCCAGTATTTTGAATTTGATGTGAGAGAGTGAAGGCTGAAGTCGATGGGCATTTAAGGTAGACTGGGTCTGAGTGAACCAGAGGTGAGTGCTCAGAGCCACAATGCTCCAGGCCTCCGTGGATCCGCTCATCTGACCAAGAAGACCTACAGAAAAAGAACTCCAGACCCCAGGGTCTGTGCTTGCGCCTGGAAAGGAAAGGAGAGTGTTATCCACTGGGAGGGCAGTGAGGACCTGGAGAGAGGCTTTGAGTCCAGGAAGGTTGATCCCCACCCACTCTGACATGCTCCCTGGGACCAGGTGAGGCTTCAAGCTCTGAGGAAGAGCCTCCATCCCCAGAGGACAAAGAAAACCAGGCCCCCAAACGGGCTGGCCCGCACCTGCGCTTCGAGATCAGCAGTGAGGATGGGTTCAGCGTGGAGGCAGAGAGCTTGGAGGGTGAGTCTGGAGTGGTGCTGGTGGGAGGGAGTGTGTCCAGTAGTGCCCCATACTGACCCAGCTCTGGTCCTGCCCTCTCTCCGCAGGGGCATGGAGAACTCTGATTGAGAAGGTGCAAGAGGCCCGAGGACATGCCCGGCTCAGACACCTCTCTTTCAGTGGTAAGTGGACAGTCCACGGAGGTTGGGGGCTGGGATGATTCCCTGAGGGCAAGATGGGCTTCCACGTAACTCTCCTCACCTTGGGCTCCCCAGGAATGAGTGGGGCGAGGCTCCTGGGCATCCACCACGACGCCGTCATCTTCCTGGCAGAGCAGCTGCCTGGGGCCCAGCGCTGCCAACACTACAAGTTCCGATACCACCAGCAGGGAGAAGGACAGGAAGAGCCGCCCCTCAATCCCCATGGAGCAGCCCGTGCTGAGGTCTATCTTCGGTGAGACTTCCTGGGGGGGTGTTGCCAGGGTCAGAGGAAGCCTGTGGGGGCTCTTAAGGGTACAGAGTAGCTCAGTACACATTGGAAACAGGCCTTCCAGAAAGACACTAGGCCACTCCAGAGTTCAGATCAGGATAAACACCCATTTCTCCTTTCACTGTGTCTTCAACGGCAGCCATATTCCTGTCCTGCCAACAGTAGGCCAAGCCATGGAATGGGTAGGCGGCCTCTCTGAAGCAGTAGCTGTGAACCTCCTGCCTTTTCTTTCCCCTGCAGGAAGTGTACCTTTGACATGTTCAACTTCCTGGCTTCCCAGCACAGAGTGCTTCCTGAGGGGGCCACCTGTGACGAGGAGGAGGATGAGGTGCAGCTCAGGTCAACCAGGTATAGAGGGCAGGCTGGGATGCTGGAGTGGCTTGGGAGGGTCCTGAAGATGGTGGCCATGAGAAGAAAGAAGTCGTTCCTGGGCTTTAGCCCGTGTGACACTGCTGTCCCCTCCCCTCAGACGTGCCACCAGCCTGGAGCTGCCCATGGCTATGCGCTTTCGCCACCTCAAGAAGACATCAAAAGAGGCTGTGGGGGTCTATAGGTGAGTGGGGTTTGGGGGGAGACTGCCCCTTGGGTGGATGGACAGGCACCCTGGTGTGGGGCTGCCTTGGTTCCATCCCCCTAGCCCCTGAGTTCCTCTTTGCACCCTGCCCCACAGATCGGCCATCCATGGGCGGGGCCTGTTCTGTAAGCGCAACATTGATGCTGGCGAGATGGTCATTGAGTACTCGGGCATTGTCATTCGTTCTGTGCTGACGGACAAGCGGGAGAAGTTCTATGATGGAAAGGTGGGCTCCACCAGGCCATGGGAATGAGGTGGGTGAAGTACGGCAGGTCCATTGGGACAGCGCCTTTAACTTCCCCTGGCGTCCCCGTAGGGCATCGGGTGCTACATGTTCCGCATGGATGACTTTGACGTGGTAGACGCCACAATGCACGGCAATGCTGCCCGCTTCATCAACCACTCATGTGAGCCCAATTGCTTCTCTCGTGTCATCCATGTGGAGGGCCAGAAGCACATCGTCATCTTCGCTCTGCGCCGCATCCTGCGTGGTGAGGAGCTCACCTATGACTACAAGTTCCCCATTGAGGATGCCAGCAACAAGCTGCCCTGCAATTGTGGCGCCAAGCGCTGCCGTCGGTTCCTTAACTGAAACCGTGGAGATCCCCTCCTCCTGCCATCTTATCCTTAGCCCGGGGGTGGGGAGGCTCCTTAGTCCCTCCCAGAGCATCTCACCCCCACCCACATGTTCAGGGTGGATGTGGGCCTACAGGTGACAGGGTCCCTGCCTTCACCCCTCCAGCCCACCTAGTAACTGCCCCCTTCCTGCCCTGGGGGCCCAGGATGTAGATATTGTACAAAGGTTTCTAAATCCCTTCTTTTCTATGCACTTTTTTATTTAAGAGGTGGGGTTCCAGGTGGGAATCCCCCCATAATAAAGTCTGTCAATGTTTGGAGATGTCGTCTTCCCATTTGTATGGTGCTGGGGCACCCAGCTACATCCATGTCCATCCTGAGCCATGGAAACCTGTCAGCCTCAACTCCACAGCTAGGTGAGAGGCCAGCATCCTGAATTAGAAGTGCAGCAAACGTTCTCCATTTGGCTCATGGATACTCTTTTCCAGGTTAGAGCACAGCTGCGTCCCTAGGGTAGCAGGGCTGTTGTTACTCAGAGGGATTCCGGTTGCCCAGAGGCACCTGGGGCCAGCTCTCCCCCACTTGTCTGTATGATGGGAATGGGCCCTTCTCATGGGGAGGAAAGTGAGAATTCTTGACCCAGTTAGGATTATACCCCAAGAAGGGCCCTTAATGAGGCCCAAAGACAGTAGGCATGTATCTCAAGAGAAGCTTTAATGGCTGGGTACACCCCAGATCACCTGAGTTTAGACAACACCTGTAGTGCATCTCCCCGTCCTAGCTGGGCCAGGTGTGTGGCAAACTGGCCCAGACAAGCCGTGGGTTCCCTTGCTACAACCACCTCCAGCAGGGCCCGAAGTGGTGAGTGACTGGGCCGCAAGGAGTAGGCAAAGGTAGACCAGGCAGCCGGCAGCCCATATCGTGCTGCCAGGTGCCGGGTCGTGCCACAGGCCATGGTTCCGCCTGGCCCAGCCTCCGGGTCGAGTAGTATGATCAGCTCCTCCAGCACCTCCAGCTCATCCAGGAGGTGAGAGAGAGGCTCCAACGCCAGCGTCTGCAGCTCTGGGGAGCAGAGGGAGGAGTAAGGGGGAGTGAGGGCGAGCCTCCAACCTACCTGTGCTGCCCTGTCCCATAGTCTGACTCACCAGTTCCCAAGTGGGGAAGCAGAGAGTCCTGTGCATCCCCCACTTTTGATGCCTTCAGGGATCCTTGGGTGGAGTGCAACGGGAAGGGGGTGTCCCGGCTGCTGCCAACCAAGCCTGGATAGGGGAGGGGCATGGACTTTCCATTGCATCGCCAGCAGTGCCTTTGAACGGTGAGCAGGAGGATCAGTGAGGAGGTCACCACCAAGACCAACACCAAAGGCAGGACAAAACTCGGCAAGGCTTGCAAAGATACATCGCCTACGGGGGTGTGTCGGTGCTCAGAAGTCCAAGGCAGACTAGAAATCGCCGGTGAGCTGGACTCCTGGGAGCTAAGGACGCTTGGTTTTGTGTATGACAGGGGGCAGGGCATCTTGGCAGGAACCTGCCTCTGGGAATGGAGATTGGCGTAAGGGGGGAGGCCACGCCCCAATACTCCTCAGCCCAAACTTCCCATCTTTAGATCCTTCCGTGGGGCCACATCCCCGCCTTTGATCCAGCCCCCCCACCCAATCTCACCCCAGGCCCCGCCCTGACCCTTTCAGACTCTCCATCTCTAGATGCAGTGCTAAACCCTAATCCCATCCCCTTCAATGGGACTACACCCTCTCCCTAGATCCAGCCCCGCCTATCCAATCCTAAACCACGCCCACTAAATCCCCACCCCCTCAGGCAACTAACTCGCAACCTCGCCCAAGCCCTTCAGAGCCTGCCCAACACCTTTACACAGGACTTCTGGGTTCCACCGCTGCTCTTTGCGGGAGCTGGGGCTACGGGAGCCCCGCCACCGCAGGGTTTACACAGCTCCGCGCCATCGGGGTTGCACTGCCCAGGAGGACACTCTTTGAAGGGGTATGTTAGGTGATTGCCGAAGTCATCGAGCCCGCAGTTTTTCGTGAACTCGTAGTCTAAAGGCAGATGGGGGCTCACGTCTGGATGCTGAGCCCACCTCTTCCGCACCCTTTCCCCATTGATCTAGCCCAGCAGGGCCCGCCCCTTCCATAATTTAGCGTTCCTTTCCATTCCATCCATCCCCCCTCCACAAAAGCCCGGCCTTTCTTGAAATCTTTTCTACACAGGCCCCGCCTATACAGGCCAAGCTCCGCCCACACCCTGAAGTCTCTTAAGAACCCACCTATTCCACAAGATCCCGCCTCTCACAGGCTCCACCCCTTTCGTCATTGCCCTATCAACTTACGCTAGGCCCTTCCGCGCAGGGTCAGCTCCCTACCCGTCTCCTCCGCGCCAGGCCCCACGCCACTACACCTAAGTAAACGTCATGGGCAGTACCCCACTGGGCTGGGTTCCTCCTTCGCTCCCCAACACCCACTCGCTCCGGCTGGATATATGCATATGCATAGTCCCGGCTTCTCACCCGGGCAGGGGGGCGGCCCGAAACGCTGCAGGCAGCGGCCACAGCACTCGTTGTCAGGGTTCCAGTATTCAAGGTAGCCGCAGAACCTAGTGGCCTTCAGCGGCTTCCCCAGGGCCGGAAGCAGCATGGCAGCCAGGAGGAATCGAGGACCCATCGGGGCGGTGCCACAGGACTTCCGGCCAGAGAGCTGCTGCCACGCTTTCCAGAAAACGGGTTCAGAGGAAGGATGCAGTGTATGTGGAGGCTCCAGACCCCTAGACCTGTCTGGATACCAGGAATCTGCCTCCTCCCCCCGCCCCATCCCAGTTTCTGGCCTTGTATCAGAGATACCCCTAAGGCCTCAAGATGGTTAGGACTTAGGACCCTCTGGATCCTGCATTTCCTCACCTTCCCTCCCTCCCGGCTCCCTTTTCTACCCGTAAAAAAAAAAAAAAAAAACAACCAAACTCACTGCCTTGGAGTGGGATCCGACTCATAGCAACCCCTCCTTGGGTTTCCGAGGCAGTATCACTACAGAAGTAGATTGCTCAACCTTCCTTCTGGTGGGTTTGAACGGCCAGTCTTCTGGTTAGCAAATGCCTTAGGCACTATGCCACCAGAGCTCCCTTTCCTACCCGTAAAATGGGAGAACAGTACCTGTCTCAGGGTTACTGTGGAAAATTAAAACCATTGCTACAAGTATAGCCCATAGAACAATGCCTGGTACACATAAGCACAAATTTAAGGGTTCAGAACACTGGGCATGGAAGATCCAGCCCCAATCTGCTAAAGACTCCCTCAAGTCCCAGCGACCCCACTTTAGCTACGATCCCCACCCAACCTCCTCTGGGCTGAGAATCCTCCAACTTGCCCCAACCAGGGGCTGCCCTGAATCAAAGTGCTGTGGTTGCCAATACAAAGGTATCCCTATCCCACTAGTCCCATTTAGGGCCCTCTAGGGCCCTCAGCCCGCTGCTTGCCCACCTGTTGTGTGAAGTTCCGCTGCTGAGGTTCTGGCCGGAACCCAGCTCCACTTCCCCTTTTGTCAGGAAACATGGGGGTGGAGAAGAAACTCCAGCCCACAAGATAACAAATACATGCTTTATTAGGTCCCTGCGATTTTCATTGTGCAGTTCCAGAGCCTGGGGGGAAGATAAGGACTAAGGACGGAGAGGGGAAGAGGGGATGGACAAAGAAATGTGCCTGGCAAGGGTGGAGGGCAAGGGGGCCAGGATTTCAAAAGCGGCCATGCCGGTGGTCGGGAGAACGCCGTCGGTTCCTTTCTCGGGGACGGTGGCCAGTATGGGACCTCGGGGGCGACCTGGGAGTAGGAGTAGAGAGAAGAGGGTTAGAGCATTGGGGAGCCGTGGGCAGAACCAACAGACCTGCCTCCCTGTTCTGGGGTGGGGCAAGGGTTCCAGGGGAAGTCTAGGAGTAGGGACTCAGGCTGCTATCACTGAAAATTCAGACTGATCTTGGGGTGGGGATTCAGGCAGGTTTTGCGGTCAGGACTTCGGTGCTGATCTCAGAATGCAACTTAGAGCTACACTATTATTTGGACATAGAATCAGGTTCATTTTGCGGTATGCAGGCTGGCCTGGAGACATGAGGAGTCTTGAGAGGCTGGTCCTGAGGTACCTGCGCCGAGGTCCCCGTCCATAGAGCTGCCGCCGGAGGTTCCGGGAGATGGGCCGCAGGTGCATAAAGTTGCAGAAGCCACCACGGGTACATTCCCTGGGCAGAGGCCGAACAAAAGAAGGCCATTTGACAGCTCCTGCCCTCTGACGCTTCAGGGGCCTGGGACCCCAAGTGCTCATCCCATCCCATTACCACCATACCCCATCTCGTACTGTCGACAGCATGACTCCCGGAAGTCAGTGACAGGAGACAGCTCGGCATGTACAGCCTGTCCGTTGAACCAGCGGTTATTAAGTTCAGTCACTGCCCGCTCTGCATCCTCCTCCCGCCGGAACTAAGGGGAAAGTGGGTCAGGGTTGACAATTGAACTCTGAAATGTTCAGGGGACTAGTTAGCTATAGGGGACAGACTGGATTTAGTAATGAACTTCAAGTTGTGAGGTTTCAGTGGTGCCTACTGGGCAGTGAAATGCCTCTACTTCTGGGCTATAATGCTCACACTGAAGTTCAAAGTTGAAGCTGAGGAAAATTAAAACAAGTCCATGAGGGCCAAAGTATGAACCTGAGTCTATCCCACCTGAATTTAGAGACCATCTAATGACTGAAGACCAGCTCTGAGATGATATCAAGGACACCATACATAAAAGATTGAAAAGACAAAAAAAAAAAAAAGAAGAAGAAGAAAAGACCACAATGGATGTCAGAAGATTGAAACTTGCATTTGAATGTACAGTAGCTAAATGGACTAGAGGAAGAGAAAAGCTGAACAAAAGATTTCAAAGGGTGGCCTGAGAAGACAAAGGAAAGTATTACAATGAAATCTGCAAAGACCTGGAGAAAACCAAAAAAGAACATTCTTGGCATTTCTCAAGCTGAAAGAACTGAAGAAAAAAGTTCAAACCTCAAGTGGCAATACTGAAAAATTCTTCGAGCAAATTAATGAATGATGCAGGAAGCTTCAAAAGGCAATAGAAGAAACACAGAGTCACTGTTCCAGAGAGAATTAGTCAACATTCAACCATTTCAGCAGATAGCATATGATCAAGAACATGGTACTGAAGGAAGAAGTCCAAGCTGCACTGAAGGCACTGGCCAAAAACAAGGCTCCAGGAATTGATGGATCACCAACTGAGACGTTTCAACAAATGAATGCAACACTGGAAATGCCCGCTTACCTATGTTAAGAGACAACAATGTGGCCAGCTGATTAGAAGAGGTCCAAATACATGCCCACGTCACAGAAAGCTGATCCACAGGGATGTGGAATTACTGAACAATATCCTGTGACGTGCAAGTAAAGTTTTGCTGAAGGTAAAAATGATTGCAGTACTACAACAACGGGGAACTGCCAGAAATTCAAGCCAGATTCAGAAGAGGGCACGGAGTGTGGGATAGCATTACTGATGTCAGCTGGATCTTGGCTGAAAGCACAGAATACCGGAAAGACGTTTACCTATGTTTTATTGAGCATGCAAAGGCATTCAACTGTCTGGCTCATAACAAATTGTGGATAACATTTTGAATAATGGGGATTGCAGAACACTTAATTGTGCTCATGAGGAACCTGTAGATGGGCCAAGCAGCAGTCATTTGAACCAAACAAAGGGTTACTTCACAGTTTAAAATCAGGAAAGGTGTGTGTCACAATTGTATCCTTTTACCACACTTATTCAATCTGTATGCTGAGCAGATAATGCGAGAAGCTGTACTATATGAAGTAGAATGCAGCACTGGGATTGGAGGAAGACTCATGAAAAGACATCATGAAACACAGGGAAAATTGAAGTTGTCAAGGACTTCATTTTACTTGGATCCATAATGAATGCCCATGAAAGCAGCAGTCAAGAAATCAAATGATGTATTGCACTGGGCAAATCCGGTGCAAGCGACTTCTTAAAAGCATTAAAGAGCAAATACGTCGCTTCTGAGGACTAAAGGGCACCTTACTCAAGCCATAATCATACATGTCAATTGCCTCATACGTGTGTGAAAACTAGACAATGAATAAGGAAGACTGAAAAACTGATGCCTGTGAATTATGGTGTTGGCAAAGAATATTACATATACTTGGACCGCCAAAAGAATAAACAAAACTGTCTTGAAAGAAATACAGCTGGAATGCTCCTTAGAAATGAGGTTGGCAAGACTTTGTCTCCCACTCAACAGCACCTAAGAACAATGGGGGTACAGCAGGCACCTTGACATAGACGTTCCCCACGAGATGATCTCCCAAGTTGTCGCATACATTCATCTCTTCAATTTCCCCATACTTCTCCTGCAGTTCCGTGAACACCTCCTGCAGAACACCAGGAGGAACTCTTGACCTTGAGGCCCACAGGACACCCAACCCATCCCCTCCAACCCTCACCTCAAAGAAGTTATCGTAGTGTTCCTGCACTTCCACGTCGCTGACATGACCTAGAGGAAGGGGGCAGGATGAGGTCAGGGAGGGGGCCTGCTGGGGACCGTCCACCCTGCCCCCAAGCCCAGCCCCTCGCTTACAGTGTGATCCATCTGCGGTTTGAGCTGTGTTCTGTGGATTCCGGTACAGGTTGAGCAGCACTATGGTCTGAACAGAATTAAAAGGAGCGAGGTCTGAACACCAGGGCACGGATACTTGCAAAGGTCTTCTGAAGGCTGGGAACGGTGACTTCATTAAAGGCCACACGTGGGTGGCACTTAGCATCAGAGGCGGAGCCTAAGTACCGGGAGTGCAACTGCGTAGCCTGCTTAACCCTAAGGACACCAAAAGAGGGCGTACCTAACAGTGATGGACAGTCCAAAGGAGTGGTTTGTACGTACGGGGCGTAGCTAGGTTCCCGGGGGCAGGGCCTGAAGGATGGGGAAAGGAGCCAGCCGAGAGGTCCAAGAAGAAAATAGCAGAGCGGTCAAGCGGGCCTTAGAAACCCGGAAAAGGCGGGACTTCATGATGATGGACGGCAGAAGAGGAAGGGCCAAGAAGTGTTAACCCCTGGAGCGCCATACTGGGCCTCACCTGGCTGAACGTCGGTTTGTTGTGAAGCCGGGAGCACCGGTCCCCGTGCCGGCAGGCCCCGATCTTAAAGTAAAAAGAGCAGTTAACCCTGGAAGAGGTGCAAAGACAGAGGTGAACTGAGGGCCGGGGAGGCCGGACACCCCAGAAACACCGCCCCAAGCCGTCCAGCCACCAGGGACCCAAATGCCCCGGCCCCGGCCCCCCGCCCAGGGGCCACTCCCTACGCCCGTTCTCACTTGTCCTTCTCAGTCCCGAATATCGAAGCTAAATATTCAGCCATTTTCACCCGAACCCTCCAACTCTGTCGGCTCCTTTCGTCACTTCCGTAACTTAGGCGCATTGGGAAGTGTAGTTCATTGCTGTGTCGGGACGTTTCTCAAGGCTCAGAAACTCCCTAATGCGCTTGTGTATTGTAGGCCCTCGCCTTCCGCACGGAACTACCCTCAGGAGTTACCAGAGAGCGCATGGGCAAAACGGTGCCGCATCAAATAATAATAAAAAAAAAAAGACTACAAGTTCCAGAGATACCTGCGACATCTCCCGTAGACGTCTATGGTTGAAAGTAGCAAAAGTATCCGAGAAATCAGGGCCCTGTATTGGTGAGTTAGGGGTCGTTTCGCACACTCCAATAAACATAAAGAACATCTCAGCCCCACCAGTTTGCTCGTGGGGGCGGTTATGTTCTTGCTACCGCAAAGCCACTCCTAAGTTTGTCTCGGTTTCATCGTGATAGGGGCGTGGTTGTTCCTGATCCTCACATCTGTCATTTCGGAATCAAGACGGGTCTTTTGAGACAACTCGGTCCCTGAGCAACTATGAACTTGGAGCGAGTGTCCAACGAGGAGAAGTTGAACTTGTGCCGCAAGTACTACCTAGGTAAGGTCTCGGGGAAAGACATCTGGTGGATTGGATTAGTACGCCTGAGGGAGGAGCACCTAGGGGCCTGAACTCGTGGGTCTAAGATATGAAGTGGCTGGACACGCAGACTCCTAGGACTGAGGGAAGGAGGGCCTGAATTCAGAGAAGTGAGGAGAATGAGGTCCTCAACTCCTGAGTCCCGAGAGAGGAAGGGATTGGGCTGACCTCCTAGATCTGATGCAAGAGGAGTTTGAGGACCTGTGTTCCTGGAGGAGAAGAGTCTGAAGGAGTAGACTCCTGGGTGATGGGGGAGAAGAGGTCTAGGGGATTGGAGGAGGGAAGAGGGTCTTGGAGTCTGAACCCCTGGATCCTGAGGAAGGAGTGGCTGAGGCATCATTTCTGGATCCCACGGAGGAGCCAGGAGTCTTGAGCCCTTGACAGCAGAGATCTCCACCTGAACTTGAGTGTGGGAGAGGACATTGCAACTCGATCTCATCCGAGCCTGGAGGTTGATAGGGGAAGGTCTTAATTGCCTTATGCCCCAGCCTGTCTTTTTCTCTCTAGGTGGGTTTGCTTTCCTCCCTTTCCTCTGGTTGGTCAACATCTTCTGGTTCTTCCGAGAGGCCTTCCTCGTCCCAGCTTACACGGAGCAGAGCCAAATCAAAGGCTGTGAGTTGGGGACACAGAGAAAGGGAGACCAGCAGATGGAGGGAGGGGGAAGCCGAAGCCTTGGTGGGAGGGGATGATGGAGGTTCCAGTGGAGGTTCCAGAATCCTGGGACTCAACGAGAAGACAGTGCTGTCCTGGGGGAGCCGGAGCAGCGGGAGACCAGCCACCCCAATGCTGTTCCTCCTGCAGATGTCTGGCGCTCAGCTGTGGGCTTCCTCTTCTGGGTAGTCGTGCTCACCACCTGGATCACCATCTTCCAGCTCTACCGGCCCCGCTGGGGTGCCCTTGGGGACTACCTTTCCTTCACTATACCCCTGGGCACCCCCTGATAGCTTCTCCTGCACAGGCCTGGGGAGCTGGTTGTTCTCCCAGGATGAGCTTCTCTGCTCTAGGCTCACTCTTGAGCCCACTAAGACTTATTCACATCTCCCATGGGCTCTGCTGATATCCCCCAATAAAGTACCCTGATTCTCAATATTGACTTCCTGGTATCTTTTGGAGGTGTAAACATAATAAACAAACAAACAGAAAGAACTCATTGCCATCGAGTCAGATCCAACTCATAACAACCCCCTCCTTGGGTTTCTGAGGCAGTATCGCTACGGAAGTAGATTGCCCCATCTTCCTTCCGAGGAGTGGCTGGTGGATTTGAACCGCCAGCTTTCTAGTTAGCAGTCAAATGCCTTAGGCAGTAAACATAAGATGATTGTTAATATTCAGAAACATTTATTGAGTGTTTACTTTGTACCAGGTATACTCCTTTGCATATTGTGTGCATATTTTCACTGAATACTACTCATAATCCTCAGAAATAGGAACTTTCCTAATCAAGAGCTCTATGTTACACTTGAAAAACGAAGAAAGGAATAGCGTTTCTGTTTCCAGGGACTGCTATTCTGTACTGGTAGGGTGTGAGTTTGAAAACATGACTTTCTCACTCTGGGCCTCAGGATTCTTGTCAGGAGTCCAGGTCCTTACACTCCCACCTGGGATTTATCTGGGCCAAGACATTTTCTGAAGGGGGTGTTGTCTGCAACAACAGAAATATCCAAGAACTTTTCTCAGAAAAGCCCTACATGATCATCCAATTTAAAATTCCAAACCCCTCTTTAATAGTCCCTATGCCCCTTCCAAGGATCTCTGGTAGCATAGTGGTTAAAGCACTTTGCTGTGAACCAGAAGGTCGGCAGCTCAAACTCACCAGCTGCTCCACGGGAGAAAGTTGAGGAAGGCTGCTTTTGTAAAGATTTATGGCCCTGGAAACCCTATGGAGCAGTTCTACTCTGTCCTGAAGGGTCGCTATATGTTGGAATGGATTCAATGGCAGTGGATTTTTTTGGATGTCCCTTCAGGTTTTACTCTTTCGCCTATCAATTTCATTTGTTTATGCCTGTTGTTCATTCTCTAAAAGATAAGCTCCATTACAGCAAGAATTTTTGTCTGTTTTGTTCTCTACGGTGTCCCCAGTGCCTAGAAGAGTGCCTGGCACACAATAGACTAGATGTTTGCTAAATGAATGTAAGTTAACAAGTAGCTGGCACACCGAGAGTGCTCAGTAAGAGGGATGTCCTGTTCGGAAACCTAACTCTGGACTTGTCTTCCTCTTAGGGACAAAAAGGACTTCCTCAGTTAATTAAATCCTATAAATAAATTAGCATTACACAGCGCTTCTAGCACTACAAGTCCCAAAAAGCCTCGCGATGAGCGGAGCTACGTCTTCCACCGTGTTGCGAGCGGCGCAGGCGTCGTTGCTCTTGTTGGGGTCGCTTGAACTAGAACTACACCTACCAGGATGCGCCCTCGACTGTCGTTGATTTGTTTCCGGAAACGGCCCTTCCCTCGTGAAGGTGGGATTTAGGGCGAGGATCCTATGACGGTAACTATCAATTGGTCAGGGTACGAGATTGACAGGTGACCTGACTAATGGAAACAAGAAACTGCCGAAGGGGCCGCCCACACAAGGGCAACCCGGGAAGCGGCAGCGTGCAGCGGACACCGCTGCGAAACTGGCCGTACTCGAAGCTTACCTTTGAACTGTCCTCGCCGGTTCCCGGCCTTGACTTGTGACTCCAGACGCTTGGGGACTCATCTGACCCAGCTGGCCTAACCATGTTCCCGGTGAAGGTAAAAGTGGAGAAATCAGGTGAGGACCCCGAGGTCGGGGCCTGCAGGGAAGTATTCGGCTGATCACGTTTAATCAAACGTGATTATTGTGATCGGACCGACTACACGACTTCTCGGTACAGTCCATTTGACTATCGCGATACCGGGTACCGAGCCCTTTCTGCCACCTTCCTACCTTCCCTGAATGGATGGTGATGGCTCAGGCAGTGTGGTGCGAGATCGGGTTCTCTACGGTGCCGAGAATATAGTGGGGATCCGGAGCGTGTGACCTTGAGAAAGGCTCTGTTCTTGCCTCTGCCTCAGTTTCCCAGTGCCCAACAGTGGTCCCAGTAACTGTTTCCCAATATCCCAATAATACCGAGAGATAGGAAGTGTGGCAGAAGGGGAAACTGCATCTCAAAGAGGGGAATTCCTTTTGGGTTGTAGCAGAGTTGATGGGAACCCAGGAATGGTTGGTAAGGGTGGTGCGGGAGGAACGGAATCCAGACCAAAAAATGTAGTGAAATGATGTAGAATTACAAAAGAAAAAAAAAAAAAAAAGATGTAGGATGTTAGAAGGTATATGTGTTATTTAATTTTCAAAAAAAGAAATGATGAGATCAAGAGTGGGGCAAGGTGAAGAAGAAAAGCCATGAAGGTATGTGAGGGACCAGCAAATCAGACAAAGGACATGGCTTTGAAAAGCGGTGTCTACAAGGAACAGCAAGGGGTTCGTTACAGCTGGAGCAGAGGGAGTTGGCGGTGAGTGAAGAAATGGAGGCAAAGAAGGTGATGGGGGAAACAAACCTTGTGGGTCACAGTGAAGACTGTGGCTTTTGCACTGAGGGAAATGAGCCAAGAGAAGGTTTTGAACTGAGGAGTGGGTTAATAAAGGTGTCCCCCAAATGCCAAAAAAAAAAAAAAAAAACTGTCAAATTATATGTGAAAGTTTCTTCTGAACTAAATCAGGGGCTTCAGTAAATGTGCATGAACTGTCGAATATAAACCAAATCTCCTCCATAAATTTGCACCCAAAGCACAAAAAAAAAAAAAAAAAAAAAGTGAGTGGAAAAGTGAAGCAGACTTGACTATAAATGAAAGTGGGGAGAGCTGTAGAGGCTGGAGCACTGCAGAGCTGTGGCGGATTCTAACGGAAGGGTCAGAGTCAGGTTTGCTTATAGGAAGACTGTCCTGGCAGAGTTGGGCAGAATGGCTCAGAAGGGAAGACAGGCTGGGAGCCCAGGCTGGGACAGGATCACGGTGAGTGGGTTAGGGATGGAGTGGGTGGAAGAGAGGCTCAGGCCAATTGGACAGGTCATGGGACTGGTGGGATGGGATGGGAGAGAGTGAGAAGCACCCAGAGTGAGGCCCAGCAGGTACTGGGAGACACTGGGGCCATCCCTAAGATGGGAAGCCAGGAAGAGGTGTAAGTTTAGAGAGCCACTGAGGTCATTGTGGGACCCAGTGGGTGGCAGGAGCATCACTGAGTTTAGAGATCCTACCACTTAGAAGTGGAGAGTGAACACTCCACAAGGGTGAAAGAATATTCATATCATCGTCTCCTTAAACTCTGTAGGGAAGGAAGGCAGTCACAGGCCAACAGGGCCAGGTGGGGACTACACCTGAGTGAAGTGAGCCGGGAGAGGTGTGTGACATGTGGGAAGGTGGACGCATATCTCCTCATTTTCTCAAAAACGCCAAAAATGGTCATTTTAGGTGAAATCTCCCAATTTTTAAATGTTGGCAGCTCATTCAAATTTAAAATGACTCCACTCTGCAGCCAAACAATGCACATCCAGGGACCAGATTCTGAGCCCAGGCCCCCAGTTGGCGCCCCTGCCTTCTACCTTCACCCCTGGAATCATGTGGCTGGGATTCAGTACCCCAGCTGCACCATTTCCTCGCTGAGTCTGGGAGCCCAGGGGGAGCATAGGATGGGACCAGGGTGAGCGACTTTGGACAAGTGGCCTACCATCTCAGTGCCTCAGTTTCCTTATCTGTAAAAATAGGGATAAAAATCATGCCTACCTCTGTTGTGTAGGGGTATATCTTAGAAAATTAATAGAGATACTCAGATTTGCCATGCACTAGCTTTAGTTTACTGCAGAGTTGTCACGGCGAGGGACACAAGTAAGACGTCACAACATTGATTCAGAACCAGAGAATCAGAATTTACAATTACAATGTTAGTTCAGTAGATAGAGTCCACATCTTTAGACTTCAGGCTTTTATCTTTAAGGTCTCAGCAAGAAGGCTTGTCCATGTGTCAGCCTCGGCAGGGGTCTCGTCTAGCTGTGGTCTGTAGTTGGCTGCTGCTGGCAGAGTTTCAGCAGGTTGTGGGTCTTCAGAGAGGGTAATAGATTAGAGAAAGATCTTTTTGCCTCTGCCTTCTGTCGGTGTTGTTGTTAGGCACCGTCGATCGTAGCGACTGTGTGTGTAGCAGCAAAACACTGCCTGCCAAAACGGAGCGAAACAGTCCCCCTCCCAGCTGTTGTCATGCTTGAACCCGTTGCTACAGCCACTGTGTCAGTCCACCCTGTTGGGGGTCTCCCCCTTTTCCACTGGCCCTCCACTTTGCCAACCATGGTATCCTTCTCCGGGGACTGGGCCCTCTTAATACCATGACCAAAATACGAAATACAAAGTTTCTCCATCTTTGCTTCTGATGAGCATTCCAGCAGTATTTTTCCCAGCAGTATTTGTTTGCTCTTTTGGCATTCCATGCATCAATTCTTCTTCAGTCTTCCTTACTCACTTCCAGCTTTCACATGCATATGAGGTGATTGGAAAGACCATGCCTTGAGTCAGGCGCACCTTAGTCTTCAAAGTGACATCTTTGCTCTTTAACACATTAAAGAGGCCTTTTGCCCCAGATTTGCCCAGCGCAGTATGTCCTCTGATTTCTTGACTTCTATTTCCATGGGTGTTGATTGTGGATCCAAGTAAAATGAAATCCCTGACAACCTCAGTCTTTTCTCCATTTATCATGATGTTGCTTATTGGTCCAGTTGTGAGGATTTTTATTTTCTTAAGGTGTAATCCATACTGCAGACTGTAGTCATCAGTCAGTGCTTCACGTCATCTTCACTTTCAGCCAAGGTTGTATCGTCGCATATCATAGGTTGTTAATTCTCACCTTGGCCTCACACAATAAAGGGCAGTGTTACATCAAAGACTAGTATGTATGTCTTTCTCTAGGGTTAGAGATTCCCCAAATGTCACATTTTGTCTTCAAGGTTAGAGGTTAGGCTTCCCTAATCTCTAATTGTTCTTTTGGCATTCCATGGTATATTCTGGTCAATGCTTATGTCTCAAGGATAATTTTACAATGATCAACTTATGGTATATCTTCTTGTATCACAGCATGCCAGGTCAAAGGCAACTTCACAGGTTTCTAATGACTTGTTAATATGAGAAGGCCTTAAGGTAGGCATTTCTAAGTTCATGTTATGAGTGATTATACATACGTATTTTGAAAGCATAATATTGGTGATAACTACCTGGTAGGATTTGAGATTATGGAAACATACAGAACAGTCTGCCTCTTGATCCAAATCACATTTTTCATTTCACTCTTTTTTAAAGCAAGTTTTGACAGAAACACAGATTTTCCCGTTACCTGAAAGTAGAGCATTCCCACGAAGCCTTTCATAAACCAAACAGCCTCAAGCAAAGGAGCAGGTACCATTACTTTATATGGGAAAACGTTTTGAGCGTTCCCATACCCAAAAATAACCTTCCAAATGATTACAGCGTGTTCACAGTACGTTCAAAGCTGTGGCAGCGCGATGCTGAGAGGCCGAGTGTAGTTCCCCGGCAAGGAGCTGGGTGGCGCCACTCTTGCTGCTCTGGGTGGGCAGTGCCTCTTTAAGGCTTACCCAAAAACAAACACTGGCGGCGAGTTTCGCTTTTTGGCTTCTTTCAGAAAGCGAAAATCCTCTTAGGATTTCTTTCAGTTAGCAAAAACAGGCACAAATGTGTAGGTCTTTCTTAAAAGTGAAGTCACTAAAGCAAATTTTCGAAAAGTGAAGGATACTTGTATTCCCAGTACAGTTGGTGTGGTAAAAACAAAAGCTTCTTTTACGTGGCTTAAAATCCAGTTCCCCGAACCCTAGAAGCTTGACTTATTCAACCATCCAAACAAACTTCCCTGATAATTCTTTGTCCAGGTTAATATCATTTTATTATACTTACGGAGATACATAAAGGAGCTCTGGTGGTGTAGTGGTTAAGGCAGTTGGCTGCTAACCAAATAGTCAGTGGTCCGAACCCACCAGCTGCTCCGTGGAGGAATGATGAGGAGTCTGCTTCTGTAAAGACTGACAGCCTTGAAAACCCAGTGAGTCAGAATCAACTTGATGGCAGTGAGGTTTTTAGATGGGGATATAAATGTTGCTAGCCTGTTCTACTGCTAACCACATGGCTGGCGGTTCAAACCCACCAGCCACTACTCGGAAGGAAGGTTGGGCAATCCTACTTCTGTAGTGATACTGCCTCGGAAACCCAAGGAGGGGTCGCTATGAGTCGGGGCCGACTCGATGGCACATAACAACAACAACAGCCTGTTCTAAGGCATGTGCCAGTGGCGCAAATGCTGTATTTAAAGCACTCATTGCTTCAGGGAATTTGTCCTTCTGTTCCTTATTTACCTTTTGGGTCATGGATTATATTTGCTTGGTTTCCTGCTTCAGATGGTTGCCCACCTGGTCATATTTATCCAGGGTTGATTTTACATCAGTCAGAGAAATATTTGGTTTGGTTTTACGATAAATTTCATTAGTACTTTTTTATTATTCCTTAGTCCCAAATGGACTGGGATTAGTAATGGTAATATCCAGTGGTAATATTCAGAGAAATGTAATGCAGCTTTAAAGGGGAAATTCTGTATTATTGCCATCTGTTCAGTAAGTTAGATTTATCAAAAATTTAGAGCATGCTGGCTGGCAGATATGTCCAGTTTCCCAAAGCATAGAAGATTGGTTGGTTAGGCATTACGATCACAGTCATAGGAACTCAGACATCTGGAACACTAACACTGTC